GTACAAGGGGTGCAATTTGCAAACCAGCTGGGGGTACAACAACTAATAATCGAGGGGGACTCCAAAGTGGTGGTGGGTTGGTTGAAAAATTCTGAAGAGGCTATGTGGCGATACAAGAATGAAATGATGAAATTCAATTGGTTGATAAGGAATATGTTGGTCACTGTATAGTGGGTGGGGAGATCAGCAAATACTTTGTCAGATATGTTAGCTAAGCAAGGGGTAAATAGGGAAGAATTATTTTGGGCTCAGTTGTGATTCTTGCTTTTCTTTCCTAGTTTACTTGTAAGATTCAAGGAGGGGCTGCAGCTCGTGCCTCTCGCTGGGATGATGTATGAACTCACTCTAAATTTGCTTCTGAATCAATAAACTTATTATTATTCATCAAAAAAAAACAGTGATTTTAGAGTTGAAAGATAAATACCTGGAACCCTAGGTTACAAGCAACATCAATTATACTTTTTCGCGTAATGCCAGGAAGAATGGTCCCCTTTATTGCTGGAGTAGAGATTGTTGTACCCTAGGACAACACAGACCATGAAAATATCTTAGTAATAGTAGGCAGCAACAATGCTGATAATGCACATTCCATCATGACACCATGACAGATTTAAGAACCAGATAAGCTCACAAGGCTTAGAGAATAGCTTACTATAAGCTTAAGCATCTACAATGGCAACATAAAGAAACTTCTCACATATCTTTGCACATCATGACCTTTTGCTGTAATTCCCTCTTTGGTTGTCTAAAGCCTTATATACTGCCGATTAGGAAATCCCTCCCCACTCAGCTTTATTTTATATTAATGAAAATTTTACCATCTTTCAATAAAAATATTCACACTAAACAAATAATAAATTGGTCATCTGGTTTCTACAGCAGCAATAATATCAGTCATTTCATTTAACATACTTCTGATAACTAAAACAGGATCAAAATAAAACCATAGTGGAAATTGTGTCCTGCCTTGTACATTGAGAAATGATAAGAACATGAAAGGAATAAATGATCTGTCTAACAACCATCTTGGTTCAAACTTCCAATGATCAAAGCCTAATGTACAGAAAGAAAAAGTATAGAGAACACCCTTGTTATAAGTTGCCTCAAGAGCATGAGTGATAAGCTGAGGGGGACGGAAGATAAGGTTGTGGATGGGTTTTGATAAACTTGATGAGGAAGACCACTTTGATTGAACCACTTGAAGCAATAAGGAAGATCTGCTTCAAAAGAACAGTTGGATTCTTTTCTTTTTTTTTTTTTTGTGTGTGTGTGGGGGGGGGGGGGGGGGGGGGTGGATTGTGATATGCCTCTTTTTTTGTTGTTTGGTATGCCTCCAATTATTACAAAGAAGATAAGGAAAAGAGGCAGGGTAAGGTTATCTTCTAGGGAGATTCAGAATCTTGTCAAGTGGAATGTGCAGGGAGGTATCAGAAAGATTGAGAGGGGTTCTTTAAAGCACACCATAGGGGGAAAACAGGGTAGATGCTAAAAGGAGGAGGGTCCTGTTGATCAGCAGTCATTTTGGCCTCTCTAGTTGATGAAAACAAATGAAGAGACACTAGATATAAACAGATTGTTGACTATTTGTTGAGCATCCCCTCTGTCAATAATATGGATATAAACGGCTTCCTTGATGCATGTAACTTGCCTGAAGTTTTCCTTTTTGTTGTGTGTCCCTGCATGCCCTATCTGAGGTGGATAAACTAAATGAACTCTTCTACATTTTTAAGTCATCACATTGGAGGTGTGTGGGATAATTCAATCCCCTCCAGAATTGAAGCTTTTGCATGGCAATGAACAGCATCCTTACCTAAAATCATTTGAAGAAAAGAGGTTTTTTTTTGGCTAATAGGTGCATCATCTGTGAAATGGATTCAGAAGATGTGATGCATTTGATTGATGGTCAACTGTCTTTATGTGAGCTGTACATGGTTATTCTATTTTTGCCTCTTCAACATGGACGGGTGGGATCCCAAGTCACCTAAGGAGATCTTTGGAAAGTGGCCAAGAATCAATGGGGGGAAGAAAGCTAAAATTATGTGGAGTTGTGTTCCTTTTGCAGAATACTATGAGGTGTGGAAAGAAAGAAATTGAAGAATCTTTAACAACAAAGCAAGAAACAAGGATTGACCACATGCCGTAATTGGTTCAAGACTGGTGGAGTGGTGTTGATTCTTCCAGAATTCAGGGACTCTAAGAGAGAAGATTTTGGTTCTGATTTCAGGACTTCTTTCAGTCTTTGCTAATTGAGGCAAGCAAAAGTATATGCATCTATCTGTTCATTTGTTCTTCTTTATGTTTTATGCCCTGTTAGCTGATTTAGTGGGTGATGCCTTGTCACCTGCTGCATTGTACCTTCTTTTCATTTAATGAATTTTGTTTTTTATTTATCGTCAAAAAAATTAAGGAATATGATTCACTACATTTTTCTAGCTAATCAATCACTACGTTCACTTGATCATATGCTTTGCTTTTATGGGTAATCATTTTTTTGTTCAGCTAGTAACATTCCCTCTTGAGAGGCATAAGGCCTGCATGACTGCATCCTTAAGTTTCCAGTTTAAAGGCAATTGCACATTATTAAAAAGTTCTTCTTTCATGCTCCTTCCACATTCCCCATGATACAGCAAAAGGAAAGTCGTCTAAAATATGCCTCCGCTAGGATGCTCGAGGTTCTACTTCTTTCTCTACCCTCTAAGCTTAGCTTATTGCTTACATTGGAATCTCTTATTTGCAGAACCCAGAATGCTCTTTTTTTTTTTGATAAATGAGAGTAGTTTTATTAAATCAAATAACAAAAATACAATCAGCCTAGGAGGAGGCACGAGATGTTACCCCCCCTAGGACTGAACCATATACATCAAAACTGCCCAAGCCTGAGACACAATTACAAAGTAACCCAAAATAGATCTCCCCTTGACACTCCTTGCTTGACCAGAGAATCAACCATTGCATTTGCTGATCTTCTGGCCCACTGAAACCTGACAGTCATATTCCTTGTCATACATTTAACTTTCTTTAACAGATCCCTGTAGCCCCAACAAGCTGTTTCTGGGCTAATTAGCCAGCCTACTACTACCTTGGAATCCCCTTCTACTAACAATAGGTCACTCCAATTTGACTAGCCATCTGTATACCTTGTACCGCTGCTAGTATCTCTGCCCTTACTGAATCACCTTCACCCACTGGTCCTGAAAATAGAGACAACATATTGCTGTCTTTGTCTCTCAGAATCCCACCGATTCCCGATGGCCCTGGGTTACCTTGGCAGCTTCCATCAAAATTCAATTTTACCACACCATCCGGTGGGGAAATCCATTCAGCTTGTGATTTGATATTGATGGAGACTGTAGCAGCCACTGCAGACCAATTTCTCCTTAAGTCATCAAAGGAGTAATCTGCCAACAAGTGTGAAGATTTTAACCATGAGATAGTCCTTGTCAATATGCATTCCTTGATTTCAGCAAGACTTCTTTACTGTTCTTGAAATATTCTAGCATTTCTCTCCTCCCATGGATACTTTTCACTACTTCATGCCACAACCTCTCCCTCTCCAGGGGCCATCTCCAAAGCCACTTACCTAAAAGAGCCTCATTCTTGCTCACCATGTTCCCTAATCCTACGGATCCTTCTTCGTTACTCCGACACACCACCTCCCACCTAATCAAGTGATCTTTTCTCTCTTTACCAGATTCCCATAAGAAATTCCTCATTAGTTTTTCCAACCTCTTTGGCTCCCTTTTAGGAATTCTAAAGACTGACAGGAAGTATAAAGGCAAGTTGTATAAAGTTGCCAATCTTGTTTAGGAATTCCAAGCTACCAATCTTTTTTTCGAATTTTTCCACCACCAGGTTCCGGAACCTACTTTCCTTTGGATTTGCACCTAATGGAAGTCCTAGGTAGGATAGAGGCCACTAAGAGCACGTTCATTCTAGCAAGTCTGCTATAGACTCCAACTCCTCTCTGTTCAAGTGAACTGCACAACTCTTCTCAAAATTTACCTTTAAACGAGGCCCTCTCAAAGTGAGATATTAAATCCTTCAGATTCCTTACCTCCATCAAATCACAACCTTCACAAAAGATTATTATGTCATCTGCAAATTGGAGATGAGTTACTGAAACTCTGTCTCTACCTATTCTCCACCCTCTTAGAGATCTAGCTCTATCTGCTTCTGAGAGGAGTCTACTAAAAGCATCGGCGACTAAAGTGAAAAGGAACGATGACATGGGATCACCTTGTCTTAAACACCTACTAGCTGGGAAAAAATCATTAACTTCCCCGTTGACTAGGATGGAATAATGGCAATTGGATAGGCAACCATTTATCTATTTGCACCATTTATCCCCAAACCCACACTTCCTTAGCACAAGTAGTAAGAATTCCCAATCCACCAAGTCATAGGCCTTTTCAAGATCAAGTTTGCAAACAAAACCTTGACGCCCCGATCTCCTCATCTCCTCCACACATTCATTTGCTATTAGAATCTGATCTACAATTTGTCTCCCCTGAACAAAAGCTCCTTGCGCTTGCTTGATAAGACAAGGAAGCACCTTTTTTATGCTAAGATGCAATCACATTTTTCTTTTGGCCTAATTTCCAAGGGTCAAAATTTCTCCTTTTTGTTTGATTTTGATGCCATTAGATGGGTAATTAGGTATCTATCCAAAAACACCAAGATCTTGTAAACCCAATGAGTTACAAGAGAGTTTTTGCCATTTTAGTGATAGGGTGTCGGTCTGTTATAGGATTTGTGTATTTCCAAATTTTTGGGTCTATCTTAGAGTTGTTGATGATTTGATTAGTTGTAGTAGGATTCGCAAAGTGTTATGACAGTTATTTAAGGAGTCTAATAGTCACGAGTATTATTACCTGCTTTAAGGGGTGTTTGATAACAGCTGAAGTAGATGAACTGAATGGCTCATTGTTTTGTCTATAGTGGATAAAATATTTGAAGGTATAGTAAGCATCTCAACATCAGTTTCAACCATTAAGGCGCCAACAACCTCCTTAATAACTTATTCACTAAGAGACAAAGCAATAATCCATTTAGTTCAGCTACTTCAGCTGTTATCAAACGGCCCCTTAGTCCTAAAGCAAACATGACAAAACTAGTCAGTTTTGGGGGTCTAAATTGTCATAAAGAGAAATCTGAATCCTTATTTTAAATCTATGTAGAATCATTACAATTGAATTTTTGGGTGAGAATTAATGGAACAAAAATTTTTTAAAGTTACTTGCAAGCAAGTGTTCTCTTTCCAAATCTGAGACCCTCCTCAAATGGCAATGTACAAACACCCAGAGATGCCCAAGATGAAAAGCAGGATGAAGTCCTCTATTCCAAAGCCTGCAATAGGCACCTAAGGTGCAATCTTTCTTTTCTTCCATTTAGATGTGAGATCTCTTCTTTCATTATTCAGATCCTTAGCTCCCTTCCTCCTTTTCATCCTACATCACAATTCTGCATCTTGAGATGGACCACTACCAACACGCCTCAAGAAATACTAAATCAAACAAAAGACTCCACTGTTGAGAGAATCAGATTTCCCCAAACCTTCCCAACTTGTGAGATAGGCAATTCAATACCAAAGAATCATAAAGGGACCTAACAAACAAGGCATTTACTGTTCTTTTTCCAAATACAAGAATCCTCCTCAAATGACAATGTGCAAACACCCAAAGATTCCCACGATGAAGAGCAGGATGCACTCTATTCCAAATCCTACAATGAACACCTAAAAATCAAACATAAAATAACCAATAGTCAATGATGTTAGAGCTAATGACCATAAAGATTTGGGGCAATGCACCGATGGAATATTCAAAACCTCTCCTACCTATGTCTCCTACCAAACCCTCCAACAAAATGTAAATGGCCTGATGCTCCATAAAAATCTACCTTTCCATATCAAAAGCAATTGCTGGCCCTCTGTGTTAAAAAAGATATGCCAGGAGTCTCAGTCTCCAATTCACCAGTTAAGCACTTCTTTTCTGCAAATACACAAAGATATTTCTTCTCTCTGGAATAAGGTCAAAACAAATGGTACACAGTGAATAGATAAAGGTAGACTTGTTGTTAGTGGTGAGAAGTATGCAACTTAGTGAGACTTACAGCTCTATTCTATCTACAATGCCTCTACCAATGCTTTGCTAAGATGTCACCCTTCAAAAAGGTTTATTTGAAAAAATAATGGCAACCAACAGTTCACTCACTACTGCACATGTTGTTTCTCATAATGTTTGAATAAATTTCTGAGTAAAGTAGATTAATAATGGATATGTGGCATGAACCATTATGGTCAAATTATAAACAATATATTCCCATTCCAGTTGATGCATCAATCAACAAATAAATACATTAATCAACAGATACAACACCAAAATGCTGCATTGCATGATAAATAAAAAACAGTAACCGATTCTTTCAGTTGTACTGTAGCATGGTTCTTGTCTACTAACAGGCCTTGGATTATCTTCCAAATCACTACTAACAGGCTTTAAGACTTTAAGGGAACATACAAGGCCTGAGAACAGGATTCTCAATGTAGAAAAGTTGATTGCACATGGTTCCAGAAGATCATCAACATCACAGATTTGTTAACATCTAAACAATAAGAAAAGAAATGAATAGTTTGCCCATAATCTAGATACCTTCACAACAAAGACATTACAAGAGGAAACCTCCTCCAGATACTTCTTGTGCACAGAATCAAGATATAGAACATCAGAATATCCTTTAGCTTTAGCTGCACTCTGTGCTTTCAAAACCTGCATACAACCAGGAAAAAAAGAATTAGAAACAGTATTCATTATTGAATCAAGAGATACATACATGGCTTTCTTTTTTTTCTCTATATTTATTTATTGAATGGTAACTGTAGAGTACATTCATTATAAAATGGAAAATATGTACAATTATAATTGCATAAGTTAGACTAGCCTCAGCTACCTAACCCTTGTGCAATTCTAAATACATCATGTTTCCCAAAAATAAACCATCCCTGTTGACTCCTTGCATTGCAATTGCAAGTGAAACAGAAACATTGTTTGCAAATCTCTAAGTCCAATTTGATGTCACATCTAATTCTTTAGCCAGCTGTTTCGTATGCCTTAATGTCTCTGCCAAGTGCCTTGAGCATCCTTGAGCCATTCAGTTACAGTCCGAGAATCCCCCTCAACCAATACTGCACAAATTAAGACTCTTGCATAAAAGTAGGCCTTGAAGTTATGCTTTCAATTCTGCTGTTGTTGAATTACCAATTCCTATCCCAAGAAGATAGCAATGAAGTCACCATTTGGACTTCTTACTCCCCCCCCCCCAATCCAACTTCAATTCCTAGAAGGTCCAGGATTTCCTGATGATACAAAAATCAAAGTTTATTTTTTTTATGAATAATGAGTGGTTTTATTAAAAATTAGAATTATAAGAGAAACACAGAGAAGATTCCCAAAAAGAGGTGCAAGATGTAGCCTCAGATCGAAACAAAGAAATACAGCTTAGCCCAAAACATCTGATTCCTATGCACCCCTTGTTTAGCTAGTGAGTCTGCTAACCCATTTGCAGATCTTCTTTCCCATTGGAAATGGACTGACATGGTTGTAGTTAGCCATCTGAATCTTTGTAGAACCCTCTTATAGGACCAGACAGATGTTTCTGGCTCTTTTAACCACTGGATCACCAGCTTGGAATCACCTTCAATTAGGAGCTGTTCACAATTCAGTTCATTGGCAAATTCAGCTCCTTGTAACACTGCCTGAATTTCTGCATTAACTGAATCCCCTACTCCTATAGGACAAGAAAATAGAGCGATAATTAACCATCAAAGTTTAATTTCTATAGATGAGCTGTTGGAGGAGCCCAATCTTTTAACATGATTGATCTAGTGACAGAAGTTCCTGCCACAATCTAATACCAATCACTCCAGATTTGTCACCTTCCACATTATAGTTTCAAAGATTTCCTTTGTCTTCTACTACCATTAAATATTCTACTCTCTCTCTTCCCAAATGGTCCAAAGTGTAGTTGCCCTTGCACTTCTCTACATAATCTTGCCCCTTGTAGTCGTAGGATTGAAGAAATCCCTCTTGAATAAAATCTCTATATTTTTTTTTTTTGATCGATAGCACAATTCATTAATTCATTGATTATCACAATAATTACAGAGAGGAAGACAAATTTCTCATCTACCAGCTACATCAAGAGCCCCAAAAGAGGAAACAAGAGAGCAAGAGAGAACAGAAAAAGAAGAAAAGTAAATCACATCTTTGCCCAGAACATGACATCCCTGTCCATCCCTTGTTTAGCTAGCCCATCAGCAAAAGAACTAGCTGACGTATTTACCCAAGTGATTTTAACTTCCATTTCTCAAACCAGCCATCTGAATTTTCTCTTCAAATTACTATAACTCCATAAGCTGTTGTCTTCTTTGTTCAGCCACCCAACTACCACCTCCAAGTCCCCTTCAATTATAAGTTTTCTAATTTTCATCTCCCTAGCTTTCTGGACACCTTCCAAAACTGTGTGGATCTCAGCTCTGAGAGAGTCACCCACACCAATTGGGCCTGAAAACATGGCAAAAACAACCCCTTTCTCATCCCTAAAGACACCCCCAATCCCTAATTGTTAGGAGTTCCCTTTGCTACTTCCATCAAAGTTTAGTTTCATGAAACCCACAAGTGGGGGAGTCCAAGACACACTCCTCCCTACTTTAATCTGGGTATAGCTAGCAATCTCGCCCCACTTAGCAAGTCATCTACTGAATATTCTGTGAACAGCTCTAGGGACTTCATCCACCGAATAACCCTTATGTGGATCAGGGCCCTCAACTCCTCAGCCCCTCTCTTTACATCAGAGAAGATTCTGGAATTTCTTTCTTCCCACAAAGACCAACATACTACTGCCCTCAGTCCTCTCCACATAGCCCTTCCCCTTTTTGTATGCCACCTGAAAAAAAGAGCAAAAAGGCCTTGCAAAATTGATGGCGGGATCCAAGTACACCCAAAAAGAGATAAAGCCCACTCCCAAATAGACTTTGCAAATTGGCAAGACACCAGAAGATGAAAACTGGTCTCCCCATCAACATTACAAAGAACACACCAATGAGGGGACAAACAAGCATTGGGTCTCTTCTTTTGGACCAGATCACCAGTGTTGAATCTTTCCAAAAAGGCTTCCCAACAAAAACTACCAACCTTAGGAGGAATTGGTCTACACCAAACCTCATTAACAGGGAAGGGGGGTTCAGGATTTGAGGGCTGGCAAAGCACTTTAAAGAAAGAGGCACAGGAGAAAAAGCTAGTAGGGGTGGGGGTCTAGATTCTAGAGTCATCCTTAGAAGGGTCCAAGAAAACATTATCAAGAAGGAGGAGACTCGAAAATACTGTCTAGGTCCAGGAGGGAAAAGCAACAAATATAAGGTGAGAGTAAAAAAGCAGCATAGAATAAAAATTGTATAAAAAAGAGAAAACAAAAGAGTTTGTGGGAGAAGAAGAAGAAGAAGAAGAGAAAGATGAGAGAAAGAGAAGAAAAGCCAAAAGATAATGCTGGCTACCCTCTCCCATTAGACTTTATACTTAAGAAAAATAAAATGTACAATTTTTAGCATGCCCTTAATAGAGTAGATGCTGTCAACAACTTTAAAAAATAACCAACTACAACTCAAAACACTTCTAAAACGAAGGGGTTGTGGTCCCAACCAAGCTAACTAATAAAATAAACAAATAAAAGACAGTAAATCCTCAACAATCCCCCTCATATTGGGAGTAAATGTCACATGTTCCCAATTTGCGTACATCATGTTCAAGCTTGCTCTTTGTAACTCCCTTGGTGAAGACATTAGCTAGTTGTGAATCAGAAGAAACATATGGTAGGCAAACTTCTCTTGTTGTTACCCTCTCTCTTATGAAGTGTCTATCAACCTTGATATGCTTTGTCCTATCATGCTGAACTGGATTATGGGCAATGTTGATTGCAGCTTGATTATCACAATACAACATCATAGGCTCCTCAACAACAATCCCAAGCTCACTCAATAAGGATCTGATCCAAAGGCCCTTAGTCTATTTAGGTTTACCCCTAGGTGGAAACCCAAAATCTGAATTTTTTTGGAAACCAATTTTGGAGAAGTTTGGAAAGAAGCTTGCAATTTGGAAGATAAATTATATTTCATTAAGGGGAAGGGTTACTTTGATTAAATTGACTCTAAAATCTTCCACCCTATTGTCTCTCCACTTGTCATATTCCAGTCAAAGTAGCAAGAAAGGTAGAGAAAATCATGAGAGATTTCCTTTGGGAACCAGGGGAGGAAAGGAAAGATCATTTGGTGAAGTGGGAGATAGTGTGTAGACCAAAGAGACAAGGGGGATTAGGTTTTGGAAACTTGATACATAGAAAACATTACTTTACTTGGGAAATGGTTGTGGCACTTGCCTCAAGAGAAGGAGAGTTTATGGCACAAAGTCCTAGTAAGCATTCATGGTGCTTCAGAAAATGGATGGGATGTAAAGGTCTCACCTCTTGCTTCAGCGCCTTCTCCTTGGAAAGCCATTCATGAGGTACTTCCTACTTTCTTAAATTTCACAAAATTTGAAGGGAAATGATAATAAAGTCCTTTTTTAGGAAGACGTTTGATTCGGTGATACCCCCTTAAAATCTAAATTCCCTTTGCCCCATTTACTTTCTAGTCTTCAAAAGAAGCCCATTGCTTGTTTCTAGAACCTTTCCTCTTTAGGTTTAAACTAGGATTTTGGTTTTAGAAGGGGATTAAGGGATAAAGAATGTGAGCTTGTGATAGATTTGCTAAATAAGCTAGGGTCAGTTTTCCTTGATTCAAGGGTGGATAACAATAAAATCTGGAAACCTACTCCAATCAGTTTGTTCTCCTGTGCTTCTTTCTTTATTCCCTAGTTTTCTTAAGTCAAGTAGAATAATTTTCCTAGTGAAAGAGTTATGGCGCAAGTCTATTCCTCCATAAGTTCAAGCCTTATGTTGGGACGTTCTCCTTAGAAAGATAAATACATGTGATGTGCTTCAAAGAAGGCCAAACAAATGTTTGTCCCCTCATATGTGTGTCTTATGCAAGGCAAATGGTGAAACAAAATCACCCCTAGTTTGCTAATTTCTTGCCCCTTTGCAAATTGTGTTTGGACGTGTGTCTCTTCTCTCTTTGGTTGCAAGTGGGACCCCCACAAGACTTCACTATGTTATTCAGCCCAAATTTCTTTAGTCAAGTGAAAAAGAGAGGTAGATTACTTTGGAAGACAACCAGGGCAGAAATATTTGGACAATCTGGGAAGAAAAAAATTAAAGACAATTCAAAATAAAAGTCTAGAGGACTGGAGGACATTGTTGTAGGAACAAGACCAAAAACAGCAAACTAGGTGAAAACTATGGAAACTTTCCAATTGGTGGAAGTGAGGGATATTATAAGAACTTGGTATGAAGTAGCAAATTCAGCAAATAGGAAAGACATAGTGTTGGATAGAAGCCTCTTCAGCCTAACAGAATAAAATTTAACTTTGATGGAAGCTCTCAAGGAAATCCAGGGCTGTCAGGAATTGGAGGTATGTTCAGGGATGGTATAGGGAAAGTGGTAACTCTATTCTCAGGGCCGATTGGAGTAGGGGACTCTGCAAGAGCAGAAATAACAGCTTTACTTCAAGGTCTGAAACTAGGAAAGCAGCAGGGGTTTAAGAATTTGGAGAAAGAAGGTGATTCAAAATTAGTAATTTCTTGGATGGCTGACAGCAGTCCAAGTGTGTGGAAGTTCAGACATCTAATCAGAGAAATCAAGAGCTTAGTAAAGGATCTTGAGGCAAGTTTCAAGTGGGTTAAGAAACAGCAAATGGGATGGATGATACTTTGGCAAAACAAAGGGTGCATAGGGATCAACTTTTTTGGGCAGATTTGGGTTAAAAATGTAACTTTTGATAAGCTGTGTTTTTCATGTGATTTAAAGCTGTACTATAATTTCTCCTTCATTTCTAATGAAGTACCTTTTTGATTACTGATCAAAGCAAAAGAAAAAAAAAAGGAGAAAGTATATAAGAAATACATGAGCTTTGCATCCCAAGTACCTCAAAGCAAAATTCTCCTCACCTCACCAAAGAGCATATTCTCACAATTGTTATTACCAACCAAAAATACCATACTCATCTAAACACCCTTCCATCTGACCCTATTATGAATCACACCCTCCCTTAAATTTCTAACTTAACAAAGCATCCCTCATCTCACCACCCCCTTCTAATCTCAATAACCCAAGAAACAGGAAGTGGTTTTCTGTCCTATTGAATAAGGACAAGGAATCACTGCAACAAAAAAATGAACAATAAGAACATTACTAAGTTGTTCTGATGAGCAAGTCACACCAATACCATTTATATTAATGAAAATATATTATATGACTAAGAAAAGAATATCAAATTAATAATCAATGTTTTAAAACACGGAGGCGTGACGCGAGGCGTTCCACTACCTAGAGGTGCGAGGTGTAGTTCAGAACGCAAGAGGCGTAAGCCTCCCAAACACAAGGAGGCATAAGCCTCCTTAAGAGGAGGGGGGTTAGGAGGAGGATGAAGAGGAAGGGGGGATCTCATTTTTCCTATATTTTTAATAAAAATCTTTTATATTAAGAAGAATAAAATCTTTCCCCTTATCTTTTCTTCCCTTCCCTTCCCTTCCCTTTCCTTTTCTTTCCTTTTCTCTTTTTCTCTTCTCTTTCTTTCTCTTTCCCTTCCCTTTCTTTTCTTTTCCTTTCTTTTCCTTTTATTTCTTTTTTCTTTTTTTTCTGTCTTTTTATATATGATGTGCATGAGGCGCATGAGGCGTACGCCTCTAGCACACCTCATGAAAAAAGCACAAGAGGCATACGCCTCTTACACCTGAGGCGTACACCTCAGAGGTGTCAGTGCCTCTAGCATACGCCTCAGGGCGTTTTGGGAGCGCCTCGCCTAGAGGCACGTCTCCAGGCGTACACCTCCCACGCCTTTTAAAACACTGTTATTAATATATATTATGGTCAAGTTATAAGAATATATCCATAGAAAGGTTTCATTGCATGTCCAGCTTACCGAAGCATAATTTCCTATAGTCTTTATGCCTCCAGTTCCACCAGGAGTTGCACGGTGAAATTCATTCTCAACAACCAAATTTATCGGTGCCAAACCTTCCTGTCAGCAATTAAATAGACATATAATTCTTAATGACTAGGTGATGGGAACACCAGAAAGCATATATATAATGAAAATGAAAATAAAACAAAGAAAACAGCTTCTGAGTACAGCAATATTAACAAAATGCAAAAAGAATGTAGTACACAAATAACAAAGCATTCTTAACAAGAGACCTTATCATCATAGTATAAAAACAACAGAATATCTCACTATCACATCAAAAACATATAGTTTAAATGGCTAGCAGTATTAGCAAAAGAAGAAGATGATGATGAAATGAACTTTGAGCCAGCGGCAATAGCGAAAGGTGATCTAAATGGCTGGCGGCAATAAGGACTTTTTCAAATCTAATCGTCATCGACAACCTTCAAATTTCCTGAAGAAACCTCCAGTGGTTTTTTATTGGAAATGGTAAGTTCATTAAACAGATTTTAAAATACAACTGCCACCCCTAGTGGGTTTGAAATACAATCACCGAGTTACAACACTGGCCAGGACATATTCCCCCTAACAACCCCCTGTTTTGCTAAGGCATCTGCTAATCCATTAGCTGATCTTCTTGTCCACTTGAAACAAGCACCAACCTCCCTTGTGAGGCTGATAATTTCCCTTATCAATTATCTATGTATCCATGCATCCAAACTACCTGACTGCAGCCATCCCATTACCAGCTTCGAATTCCCTTCTATTTCTATTTGTTGTAGTCCCAACTGCTTTGCTACACCTTGTAGTAATGCCATGATTTCCGCTCTCAAGGAGTCACCCACTCCTATTGGGCCCAAGAATAATGTTAAAATTCTGATTTCTCCATCTCTGATAACACCCCCTATACCTGAGGGTCCTGGGTTGCCTATAGAACTGCCTTCGAAGTTCAGATTTACCCTGCTTTGTATTGGTGGAGACCAAAATTCCAATATCACAGGTTTAGGAGAGCTTGTGCTTGCCACAATACCCCAATTTCTATAAATATCTTCAGTTGAGAAGTCTTTAAATTCATCAATTGTTTTCAGCCAGCGGATAGTTTTTAGTCACTCCAACAATTTCCTCCTTGGCATGCTTTTAAAATTCCCTTTATTTCTTTCTTCCCAAATTGACCACAGCACTGTTGCTCTTGTATCTCTCCACATAATTCTTCCTCGCTTCTTCGGTTGCCAGCTCCCAAGCAGAGGAAGGAAAGGCTGAGAGATAGGGGAGGAAGCTTTGGGCTGATTACTTGGTTGGAAAAAAAAGGAAGATGGCATGGCGGTAGACCTGGAAACACCTGTGATGGTAAACAAGGAAGAGAAAGGAATTTATCTTATGCAAAGAAGGCCCAACTGTTGTCTTGGTCAAAAGAGGGGAGGGTAAGTCTAAAAGTTGGCTTGAGTGTTTCTACCTAGTTCCAAATGGAGAAGGGGAATCAAAAAGGTTGAAGTTCCTGGAGGCCTGCTTTGTTGGGCTAGTGGAGTTGAATTTCTCAATGGAAGATTTGCAACGCTGGGTTGTAAGATGTTGGGGTGTCACACTATGGGTTAGGGTTAGGAAAATGGCTAAAAACAAGTTCCTTTTCATTCTGCTGTCATCGTAGGAAGCAAGAAGAATTCTTAGGTCGGGTGCTAGAAATGGTGGGGGAGCTTTATTACACTTGTACCCTTGGGAGAAATCAGAAGGTTGCTGGCAGAGAGAAAATGGTTTTCCCAACCCATACTGGTTCAGAGTTTTCAGCCTTCCACTTCACTTGTGGAGTGAAGAGATGGTGAGGAAGATCAGGAACTCGTGAGGAGGTTATTTGGAATTGGACAATACAGAAGAGGCTAGAGAAACAGTGGAGTGGATTAGGGTGAAATCACACTGGAGAGGTTTCCCACCAATAGCAGTAAATGTTGTTGACGGGGAAAAGGTATTTGTGATTACCATTTGGCCTGAAGTACTGGCCCTGGCTTCAATTATGGGGAAGTGATAGAGACAGAAGAACATTGGATCCACAAATCTCTAGCAACGGAAAGCATTTTGGCTAAGGTAAAGAGATGAATCAAAGGAAAAGAAATAATGACAGAAAACTCTTCTTTGGACGAGGAAGGTGCAATTCCAGCACTGGAGTTAGTCATTGGTGTGGGAGAAGATGAAAGGGGGGAAGGGTGCAACTGAGGCTAGGTTGCCACATGGCAACTAGGGAAGAGGTTGTGGCAGAAGTTGTAGAGTAGGGCAGAAAAGAATTCGAATCCAATCGCTGATTGTTTAAGAAGCACCTGACTAGTTCTGATGATTGTTGGCGGAAAAGTAGTCCCGTTCAAATATTGAACCTGGAACAAGAAAAAATGATTGACAGTGTGAATGAATGGTGGTTGGACAGGTTAGAAGCTATGGGGAGTCTGACGAGGAGGGAAGGCAGAAGTAGGATGAGGAAAATTTGATGCCACATATCAAGCAGCTCTATCAGTTGGGCACGTAGGAGTGAGACATGGTTGAGAGATAGTTCTAGGTAAGTTGTGGGCCTGTGGAAATAGAAGGACACAGATGAACTCTTGCAGTTGGTTTGCTCAAAGGGAAGCAATGCCGGATTTGGGCAGTCCAACTGAGCCACCTCTTTCTGACCTCGCTTGAACCGGCCAATAGTGTTTGTCTCAAGCCTTGGTTTTGGCCTGTGAGACTAACACGTCGACACAACAGTCAAGAACCCACCTAACAAAGACCAAGGAAACCCAAAGCCCTTGCTTCTGAACAAGTCCACCTCACCAGGCGTCACTTGGACAAAATGATTTGAGAGATGGCCTCTCTGTGCAAGAGAAGATGACAGGAGGGAGATCGAGCCCTTGCGCATTGGGTCAAGAGGTAGCAGCAAACGACAACGTTCTAGATGTAAGTCCAACTGCACTGCTTTTTGTTGGATAGATGGAGAAAAGGCAAGCCACTTGCTCTAACAACAGAGATTTGGTGGAGGTTCATCAAGACAAAAATGAAGAATTCTCTCCCTAGGTCTTGCCGAAGCTCTTGGCTTTTAGGGAGTTTCTCAGTGTCTCTTACAAGGGTTTGGAATAAAAAACGAATCTACTTTATCTACAATTGAAAGAAGAGTGTTAGAAGAAAAAGGCAGAAGAGGTAGGAAAACAGGCAGAGAGCTTTATAGGCTCTCTTGGGGCTTGAACAACAAGGTGGGGAGCTCGATACCCTCAAGAGAGGGAGGAAGAAAAGGGAATTGAACAAAGTTCAAGGAATAGAAAAGAAAAGAGAAATATGTTATTTTTCTTTCTTTATTACAAAAAAAGAAAAGAAAAAGAGAAAAAGGAAAGATAGAAAGCAAAGACAGAGAGAGAGAGAGAAGAAGAAGAAGAAAAAATAAATAAAAAGAAAGGAGTCTCCTTGTTTTAGAAAAATGGATCAGCTGAAACTCATATCCTGGAACATTAGAGGTCTCAATTCAGGTCAGAGAAGAGCGATAGCTGGTTTTTTTTTTTTTGAAAAAGTGGAATCCTACAATATTATGTATTCAAGAGACAAAGATGAAAGAAATGAACCCTGGGGTGTATAGAAATCTGTGGAAAGAGAGGGGATTGTGTTTGGTAGGGGCACTCATAAAAAACCGGAAAATGTGGTTAACCGAACCAATTAGTTCGGTTTCGATTCAGTATTTCAGAAAACCGAACCGACCGGTATATATATTTATATGTATATTATATATTCTTAATATATGTCACATATTATCAATATATTATATATATATATATAAATATATATACATATTATATTTATAATTATCTATTTATATATATAATATATAAATATCTATATAATATATAAATATATATACAAATATATTATATATATTATATATATCATATATATTTATAGTATTTATAATGTAATGAACATATTTGTAATTTATTATAAATCATTTATTATATATCAGATAACTGAACATTTCCCTTTCAAGACAGTCTGGTGCACACACATTCCCTCCAGAGTTTGCTTTTTTGTGTGGGAAGCTAGTCTGAAGAAGATCAACACTTTGGATCTTCTCCAGAAAAAGAACCAAGGAAGGTCTTATATATCCCCACATGTATGCTGTTTGTGCTTAAAATCCGGGGAATCAGCCAAATCAAATTCTGATCCACTGTGAGGAAACAAGAAAATTCTGGATTTTCTTTCTCAATCTTTTCAATTTTAGTTGGACTTTCCCTGAACATGTGATAGACTGTCTCAGACAATGGACAGCAAGAAGGTTAAGCAAAAGAGGAAGGACTTTGGATTTCTGTAGCGCATGCCATCCTTTGGAGCATCTGGGAAGAGAAAAATAACCGAATTTTCAACAAAAGAAAAGGAAACTTTGAGGAGCTTTTGTCTATTATTTCTTATAGAATTTTCCTCTGGACTTCCAACTCAAGAGGTTTTTTAAAGGAGTATCCTTTTCTGATCTCCAAAGAAATGCTGCAGATTTTCTGTTTTCTAAACACCAATCCTTAATCACCCCTCTCCCCCACTCTTCTGTGGTGGAAGGGGAGATAACCTTGTACTTTGATGGAAGTGTGTTTGGAAACCAAGGTGCAGCAGGAATTGGTGGAATTTTTAGAAGAAGAGATGGCACAGTTATTTGGGCTTCCAGTGGTCCATTAGGTATAGCCTCTTCAACAAAGGCTAAAATTATGGCAGCACTAACTGGAATCAGGATTCCAAGAGATCTGGGCTATCAGAACATTACCATAAAAGGAGATTCAGCAAATACCATCAAGTGGCTAGCTGACTATGGCAGTGGTCCATGGGCTTTAACTCATCTCTTGGCTGAAGCTAGAGATATCCTTTTTAACCTAAATGCACAGCTGGGTTGGATCCCTAGGGAGCTAAACACTGATATGGATGGTCTAGCAAAAGCTGGTGCTTACAGGGATGTCTTGTTTAGTGATAGTTTTCTTCCTACTTGACACTTGAGTTGTAATTTCTGTGTACATCTTCTTATGTACCCTCTATTTTATTAATAAAGTTACCATCTTTTTCAAAAAAAAATTATAATATATATTACAAAT